ATATAGATGTTACACAGATACTTTATACAGATGTGTAGTATAATATGTGTATACAGGTGTATATATATACAGGTATGTACATAGTCGTGTCTGTATATAGATGNTGTATCTGAAGGTTGATGAGTATATTATTAAATATCATAATTGTTACTACTTGTAAAAACACAAAACATTTAAGCTTTCAAAATGTAACAAATACCAATTGACATAGTAAACCTTGCATTTCATGTCAAAATGAAATTGATTTGGTACCTATAATACATAAAACAATGAGAACCTACACAGGTTTGGCAACACTGGAAAATGCAATATTCAGATAATGCCCTCTACTTGGCTGCCTGTTGCAGAAATATATGGAAGCATTCAATTTCAAGGCACCCAATGGTATACAAGTTATGATTGCACAATAAATCTTTGTATTCAAAACCCCGAAATCCTAAATGTTGTTGGTGGCTTACCGAGAACCGAGTTAGTAAGAATTACCTCCCTTTAGACATTTTCTGTGATATTTATAGTCCTGAAGTGCTTGAAAGTGAAAGTTTGTGAAGTGACAATGTAGACACAGTGGCTACAAAGTAAATATCAGGAGATTTCTGCATTAGAAGAAGGCTTGAGATCATGACTATTTGTTCTAAAAAAAAACATTATGTCTACACATAATATGGTTCCAACAAATATCCATCATGAAATTCGTATTCAATTAGTGAGTTTATTAGCCTAACAAATCAGTACTCATCAAGTTTGTACTTAACTCTACATATATTCTTTGGACAGGTATCTTGTGATGGAACTTATGGATGCCAATCTATGCCAGGTGATCAACATGGACCTTGACCATGAGAGGATGTCATATCTCTTGTACCAGATGTTATGTGGCATCAAACACTTACACTCGGCTGGCATCATCCACAGAGTATGTCTTAAATTACTCTTTTCCAACAAACTTAAGCTGCTTGATCTTTACTCCTGCCATTCTGTCCTGACTATTGGAAAACGGTATAGGTCTGATAAAAGCTTTGACACTGTTAATCCAAAAGGCCTACCATTTCAAGTTTACAGGTCCACAGTATCTGCTGTAACTCGAAATACTCTTGAAAACAGATGGAAACGAATACCCAATGACCTAACTTTTGAGTCTCCACAGGTAGAAGAGCCAGAGGAGCAGTGATATAACATTCCATATAGTTTGAATGGAGTCATGGGGAAACTCCTACAAGTCAGGCATTTAATCAATGCTGATTTATTTCTCTACTATGGCCACTGCCAGAAAGCTAAGCTTGGATTGCTCTATGTTATATTGCTCTTCAATTATGGGTTTCAATGTGGTCTTCAACAATTTATCCCATTGATGTATAAGATAAATGTCTTACTTTTACGCAGTATGGTCAGTTTGAGTTTGATCACATGGTAAATGTTTTGCACAATATTATGATGATGATTTACCTAGTAATTAAATAAAAGATTTCTTATAATCAAACTTTTGTTCTTGTGGTGTAACAGAAATATAAATCCATGTACTACAGTGTTGATTGATCATTTAAAGTTAACTGTAAAGAAATGAAAAGTTTAAAATAGAGTTGTTTGGATTTCATCGATACATAATATGATAATGGAATATACTCTTTTTTTCAGGATTTGAAACCAAGCAATATAGTTGTGAAGTCAGATTGTACGCTGAAGATTTTAGACTTTGGTCTTGCACGTACCCAGGGCACAGCATTCATGATGACACCCTATGTTGTGACCCGGTACTACAGAGCTCCAGAGGTCATTCTGGGCATGGGGTACAAAGAGAACGGTAGGTAGCTAGCAATAAATTAGGTATTAATCTTCAGAGGAATAAAACAAAAAAATCATGATTCAGCTATACAGTTATTATAAACATCAGAATATTTCATGATTTCAACATAAGCTGTAAAGAAAGGTTGTTTACTTTTCAAAATTATCAAAATAAAAAGACCTAAAAGAACCCATTTTTAGATAAATGCATAGCATAGCTACCCAACTGCTGTTTCCTTTGACAGTGGACATATGGAGTGTGGGATGTATTATGGCTGAGTTGATCCGAGGAGCTGTGATGTTTCCAGGCAGTGATCGTATCCTTTCAATAAAACAACTACTGTGCATCATTTATATTTCAAATTAATTTGCATTGATGACGATTTCAATTACGTGTATCACTCAAACAATTATTGTTATGCCAGTAAATATCCTCACAAAAAGCACAGATCCTTGAATGATAAATCAATCGATCAATATTTTATATCATTACTTCACTTGTTAAAAATACACACTTCTTATAAAAATGTCTTCAGTATTAATGATATGAGTTTAGCTTCATACTGTTTCATTTTGGGAAGGCCAAAGATGTTTCCTGTAAATTTTCCTGGGCTTTGATTGCAGTAAGTCATTGTTATTGGAAAATGGGTATTTAGAACACTATACAGTACTGGTTTTATTTTTTGGGATATCCTTAATTTGGCGTACAGATATCGATCAGTGGAACAAAATCATAGAGCAGTTAGGAACGCCGTCGAGGGAATTTATGCAAAGACTGCAACCAACAGTAAGGAGTTACGTGGAAAACCGGCCTCGCCATGCTGGTTATAACTTTGATAGACTATTCCCAGATGTGATATTTCCTCAGGACAGTGCTGACCATAGTGGACTAAGGGCCAGCATGGCTCGTGATCTCCTATCTAGAATGTTAGTGGTAGACCCAGAAAAAAGGATTTCTGTAAACGAAGCATTAATGCATCCATATATAAATGTGTGGTATGATGAGCATGAAGTCAATGGGGTAAGTGATATTGATGTATTTGAACATTATTTTGTAATATTAAGTTGGAAATTATGTCTCTTACTAAAGTGTTTTGTCATAACCATTTTAGTGTACATCTTTGGTGTTCCTTATTTCCTTAATTTTCCACTAATGCAGGGATTTTGGATTTTAATTTTTGAAATAGTAATGGGGAAAAATGTATGTTATCCTGATGGTTTTAGTCAGAAAAATATAATTTAAAGTACATTTCAATATAACTTGATAGTTTTTTGGTCACCCGAGCTTTGCTCAAGTGACCTAGCTATGCTTATCGCTTTCCGTTTGTCGTCCGTCGTGCGTAAACTTTTTACAATTTCGACTTCTTCTCAAGAACCAATGAATGGAACATTTTCAACTTGATCAGAATCATCTTTGGTGGATGAGGGTATTACATTGTAAAATTG